AGTGACCGTTTGGAGGCCCACTTGTTGTAACTCGAGGACTACCTGTATTTCCTAGGAATGGTCTTCAGTTGATCAGAGATGCTGCTAGATACCAGGCACTTTTTCTTAAATGTTTTTCCTGTCTGGTTAGTCCTTCACGGAGGCAACGCTTCCTAGGAAGGTTATGGTTATTTAAGAAGTGCTTTTCCACAGAAAGAGGCAGTTATGGTAAAGGTGACCTTGATGAAACCCAGTTTTCATCTGATTTGTGGTCTGGGACTGGTGAAGCCTTGTCTTCATTCGTTACAGGAGAAGTCTGGGAAGGGGCCTTGAAGGCTTTCTAGCCCCACCCTTGGTTCAAGTAAGAATTCCCTTCCTCTACTTGTGTTTTGCATTTGGAAGAGTTTTCTTCTCAGGCGGGGAGGGGGAGTAGAACTCCTTGGCGTAGGAGCGTGTTAATAATAATATAGGAAATACTCTAAATGCTCCGATGGTCATTTCGAAAAATCCTTTCTTAGTGAGCACCTAGAAGCCAAGAGGAACGTACGGGCCAAATTTCAAGTTTGTAGGCTTTACGGTTCGGGGTCTTTTGCTTTTATATATATATATATAGATATACACATGAATATATTTATGTTTCCAGAGGATTAGAACAAGCAAGATCTCCCATAAACTAATGGTGTCACTCTATTTATAGGATATTTTTACTCCAGTATGGTTCTATGTTCTCTATGTATGTATATGTGTGTACAAATCTCTCTCTCTCTCTCTCTCTCTCTCTCTCTCTCTCTCTCTCTCTCTCTCTCTCTCATCTATCAGTATATCTGCATCTACCTATCTATCTGTCCCTCCCATGGTGACATAAATGATTGAGAATCAAGTTGCTTAAGACATCTAAGAAGAGACTGAGAGGCATAACAGGCTAAAGTTGAAGTCAGATAATTCTGGAGTGAATTTACCCATCAAGACTTTGAATGCGCTCGTTGAGTTTTTATGGGGGTTTTAAGGGCTTCCGATTAGATGCCAGAGCTTGATTGAAGCTGTTGGACTTTACGATGTCTTTCTTTTTTGGTGGATCTCCACAAAGTGTCGTCCTAGTTCCTGCTTGGGGTGGAGAACGCAAACCCAGAGCTGGCTTTGGGGTATTTGAAAGGCATTTCTCTGTCTTCCTCCACTTTTCCTGTTGTTGTTCGTTGTGAAGTTGTGTCCGACCCATCGCGACCAAATGGACAACGTTCCTCCAGGCCTTCCTGTCCTCTACCATCTTCTGGAGTCCATTGAAGCTCATGCCAACTGCTTCAGGGACTCCATCCAGCCCCCTCCTTCTGCCCTCAACCATTCCCAGCGCTAGGCTCTTCTCCAGGGAGTCCTTCCTTCCTTCTCTTTGAGTTTCCTCTTCAGGACCTGGCCTTCTAAAGAGCAGCCAGGGTGGATCTCCTCTAGGACTGACCGGTTGGATGGCCTTGCTGTCCAAGGGCCTCGCAGGAGCCTCCTCCTCCGGCCCCAGAGTTCAAAGGCCTCCATTCTTTGGCGCTCAGCCTTCCTTAGGGTCCAACTTTCCCAGCCATGCATTGCAACCGGGAAAGCCTTGGCTCTACGCCCTTCTGTTGGCAGGGGGACGCCTCTGCTTTTTGGTATGCTGTCTAGATTTGCCATTTCCCCTTCTCTCTTACTCTGACTCTACTCCAGCCATAACCTCGCTCGATCGTCCTGCCTAGAAGGGAAGGGGCCCAGCTTGGTTGCAACCGGGCCTTTTCCGTCACCAAACAGGTCTAGTTGTTTTCCCTAAGAGGTTCTATTACTCCCAGAAGGGTTTTTTTCTTTCTCTTTTTCGTCCGTACACGCTAGACGTAGATGCTCTCCAAGAACTTGGCTGCAGTAGTAGAAATGCATTTCCTGACTCCTTGAGGTAACGGGGCAGGACTTGGCTGGGTATCGGAGCGAAATTGGCACGCCGCCACCTGATGTGCAGAAGAGAGAGAACTGGCTGCTTTTCCAGGCTTTCCATCACGGATGGGGGGGCCACCTTTTCTTTGTCCTGCAGCTTCCTACAACCCCCACTCCCCCAGGGGTTGCTTGCGGGAGAAAGGTAATTCTCAGGTTTCCTGTTCCCAGGTGTTCCTCTGCCTGTCTGGGGGATGTGACAGGATGTGACAACCTGCCTCCTTAACTATCGGAGCCTGTTGCTGCTGGCAGTTGGTTCCTCTGCGACTATCCCCTCAACCTCTTCAAGGGTTATTGTGACAGTCCTGGTAGGAGAGGGATCCTGGCTTGGTTAACTCACTTCGGCGCTAAACTTCGAACAGAGATGGTGAAATGGACCGTTTTATTAATGGATTTATCCTAGTTTTGTTTCCGCTTCTACACTCTTTGCCCGGACCTCTGGGGGTGGGGGAGAGAAAAACGAGACTTTGATTTTAGGTTTGGAGGTTTCGAATGATTTTAGAATAGAATAGAATAAGAATAAGAATAGAATAGAATAGAATAGAATAGAATAACAGGGTTGGAAGGGACCTTGGAGGTCTTCTAGTCCAACCCCCTGCCTAGGCAGGAAACCCTACACTACTTCAGACAAATGGTTATCCAACATCTTTTTAAAAACTTCCAGTGTTGGAGCATTTACAACTTCCGGAGGCAAGGGGTTCCCCTGATTAATTGTTCTCACTGACAGGAACTGTCATCTCTGTCTGACCTGCTGCTGACTCACGGACAGTCCCAATATTGCAGAACATATGGCCCCATTCCTACCTAACCAAGCTCCATTTATTGCTGAATAAACTAAATTATTCCCGTCTCTTAAACAGAAAACTACCTTTAGATAGATTTTTTTTTTTTTACTCCCAAAAGCAGTTTATTAAAATAAATTGGATAAAAATCAAAAAAAAATTCCCACTTCAGACAAATGGTTGTCCAGTCTCTTCTTAAAACCTTAAAAACTTCCAGGGTTTACAACTTCCGGAGTCCAGTTGTTCCGCCGATTCATTGTTCTCACTATCAGGAATTTTTGTCCTTAAGTTCTAGGTTGCTTCTCGCCTGGATTGGTTCCCGTCCGTTTTGTCAGTCTTGAAACCTACAAGCTAAGGTTGAGATTGTATTAGTTTTGTTATTGATTTTAAGCCCCCCCAAATTGGAAGTCGTTACTTCTTTTTTCTTCTTCTCTCTTCGGCACTTTTTTCTTTCTTCTTTTTTTTTGAGAGAGAGATTTTTCTATCCCTTCTTCCTTCTCTAGAAGGGAGCGCGGTGGCTCAGTGGCTAAAGACGCTGAGCTTGTCGATCAGAAAGGTCGGCAGTTCGGCGGTTCGAACCCCTAGCGTCGCGTCACGGAGTGAGCTCCCGTTCCTTGTCCCGGCAGCTTCTGCCAACCTAGCGGTTCGAAAGCGCGTAAACAATGCAAGTAGAAAAATAGGAACCCCTTTGGTGGGAAGGCCACAGCGTTCCTCCGTGCGCCTTCGAAGGCATTTAGTCCTGCCGGCCACTTGACCCACGGAGACGTCTTCGGACAGCGCTGGCTCTTCGGCTTTGTTGTGGAGATGAGCAGCGCCCCCCGGATGTGCAAGGAGGGGAACTTTTACCTTTACCCTTACCCTTCTACTCCTGAGCGGTGGTATATATCCCAACGATGGTAAATAAAGCCGTCACAGCATTTCTCGCCAGTCTTTACCAACTGCCCATCCTTTCTGTCCCTTCCAGGTAACACCGGTGTGTCTCTGTCACAAACCGGGCACGCCAGATGGGTCTCTCTAAGAGTTGATGGGTCTCCGATCGGGGAAGCGGCTTTCCTGAGCTAAGGTAGGTCTTCTCCCGAGGCTCCTCCGCCCGACCAAGGCCTCTTTCCCTGCCTTCCTGTATCCTCCTCACCCCCCCCCCCCGCTTTCGTTGAGCTGTGGGCGCCTAGCTAATTTTAAAAAACGCTTTCTAACAATTTTCCACGTGGGTGACGAGAGGAAAATAATGATTAGCCTGTTGGCTCTTGGTAATTAGAACAACAAAGTCTCTGTCGCCCTCGCACCGTGTGGCGGTTGCAAACCTCCAGCTTCCCCAGGAGCGAGGCAGGGGTGCTGATTGTGGGGCCGGACAAACTGACACAGCTCTTGCCCTGCCAGGGAGCCCAGCCTGGCTCTGGAGCATGTCTTGGCGAGGAGGCGGCATGGACAGTGTGTCGGAGGGACCCCAATGGAGAGGTTTCTCCTCTTTTTAAAGTTCTGGATTGGAAGGGTGAGCTTAAGACTCCTAGGCGCCAAGAGTGCTAAGCCCTTCAATCCATCAGAATAGAACTGGAAGGGACCTCAAAGGTCTTCTAGTCCAACCCCCTGCCCGAGCAGGAGACCCTGGACCATTTCAGACAAGTGACAAGTCCCGTCTCTTCTTGAAAACCTCCAGTGACGGAGCGCCCACTGTCACGCCTGAATTTGGTTTGTTGACCAAGTGTGACTGGACACACAAGGAATTTGTCTTGGTTCAAATGGTCTCCGTGGACATAAAAGAAAAGATACATCCGTCAAGAGTCAAGAATCATAAGGTCCAACACTCTTCTCGTGAAATACCTCTGGAGTCGCTCAATCGTATTAATTTCCGTTATATTGTGTGGATTCCAGGCAGATAAGCTGTATTCAAGCATTGGTCTGGCAAAGGTTTTGTACGCCCTGGTTTGCAGTTCAATGTTAGCAGAGAAGAAGCTCCGCAAAATTAGCTTAACAACTCTTAATGCTTTTTTGGCAATGCTGTTGCAGTGAGTTCTGCGGCTTAGATCTTTTGAAATGAGGACTCATCAAGTCCTTGACAGAGTGAGGGACCGCGGGACAGTTTGTATTTAGTTGCGTCTCTCCTAACATATCTCCAGTTGAACATACATTGATCTATGTTCACTCAAGGGGAGAATTGTGAGCTGGTGATTGATTATTGGGGTTTTTTTTTATTTTATGGGGTGGGTTTACTCTAAGAGTAAATTTACTGGAGCTAAAGCCCACTAAAACAGGGCAAATCATAAACCTCTTGCAGTGCCTTCTCCTTTCCCCTTGCTGTAAAAACCTCAAGAGCTCATTCGAAGGCCTCCCCTAGGATTAGATTAGTCTCTATCCTGGAGTGGTTTCCTTGTCTGAAGAACGATCCTGGGTCTAAATTATATTGACCCGAGCTGGAGGAATGTCTTAGCTTGGCGTGGAAGGAGAGAGCCAGCTTAAGGGCAGATCATATATCATCACGCACGCAGAATAAAAGGAATGGCGTTTTTGTAATTGTATCTTTCCGGCCAGCTGCTTTTCTTAGGTACTCCTAAGTATTAAAAAGTTGGCAACTGTAGTACGTATGGAGATTTTGCTGTTGGCCACTTGGAAGTGCAAAGAAAGCTGTGAGGTTCAGGTGTCTTTGGAGGAGGGGAAAATCCACCTCTTTTCTGAAAAAAAAAAAGAAAGAAAATAAAAGGAACTTGCAAGGTTTAACACAGTTTGGGGATTGTGTCTGGTGGAAGTTCTCCGTCACGTAATTTCTATTGCTTATTCCAGAGGTGCTTTTTTCCCTCCAGAAGGCAAAGGATTTTTCTTGCAGTAAAAAACAAAGCACTGTTTAAAAATGGAGGGAAGAAAGCCTCGAAAGCAACTGAGGCCCATCCTTGGCAAGTATCAAGTAATTCATCTGTACATCAATTAACCCACCACAAAAGACAAAAAAAACGTTGCACAATACTGCACATTTGAAGGGATATGCAGCTGGTTTATTTGGCAAGACAAAAGAAGGAAAACCACACGCACACACACACGGACGCACACACACACAGCTCCTCTGCTCTTTGTTATTTTCAAAACCTTCCCAGAGGCACGATCAAATTCACACCTTCAGGCACTGGCCTTTTCAAAGGAAGCACAGATGTATTTGTTCAGAGAAGTGTAAACCACACTACGGGGTGGATCCGAGGCCACTTAAATGGCCTTCCTGGAAATCTGGGCTGGCAGCTGAATCCAAAGATCTTTGCAGACAAAGCAGCCGAAGAACAGGAGACCAAAGTCAGAAGGGGCCTCGGAGGTCTTCTAGTCCAACCCCCTGTTCAAGCTATACCACCCTGGACAAAATGGCCGTCCGAGTCTCTTCTTAAAAACTTCCGACGTTGGAGCACCCACGATTTCAAGAGACAAGCAATTCCAGTGCTTAATTTTCCTCCCGGTCAGGGAATTCCTCCTTCGTTCTAGGTTGCTTCTCCCCTTGATCAGTTTCCATCCGTTGCTTCTTCTCCTGCCTCTCAGGGGCTTTGGAGAATAGCTTGACTCCCTCCTCTTCTTTGGGGCAGCCCCTGAGATATTGGGAGGCTGCTATCAAGTCACCCCTCGTCCTGGGTAATCCAGCCAGTGGTTTTGACTTTTTCCAGTCCCCTCGGTTGCAGTGTGGAGGTTTCCAGCCAGTTTCTGCTGCAGATTGTCCAAAACAACCCCACCCCCCAACTCTTCTGCCTCCCCTGTTATATTTCAAGGTAGAATCGCGTCAGAGAGGGCGTCTGTTTGTGGGTAAGCACTGCCCGCGTGTGCGCGTGGCCAAACTGCTTTGTATATTTGGAGCGTAGGATTAGAATCGCCTTCTGATCCTCCCACTACACTACAAACAAATCAGAAAGGCCAGGGGGCAAAAAAAAAAAAAAAAAAAAAACCCAGTGGAAAATAAATAGAATTAAAATATTTCCCCCCCTCCCCTTCATCTCAAGGTAGGCCTGTCAGCTGTTTCTAAGAGTTGGCCTGAACCTCGCATTGTCCTTGCCATCTTAATTGGCTTCCGCTCTTTCCGCCCCTTGTTGTGCCGCTTTTGAAAGGCTAAAAATAACGAGGATTTTATTTTGCTCTTTCTTGCCCCGTGCGCCCCGAGCCTCGGCTCTCTTGAATTTCTCTCCCCTTTTGTGTCTCCATCCCAGCCCTTCTGGGATGGCCGCCCGGCAGATTTTTTCCCTGTCTCTTCTTGGCGTCGCGCATCCTCTCGGGAAGTCCCTTCTGGGCTGGGGTTCTCAGAAGCTCCCGTGGGGCCACCAGCAAAGCTCCCAGGCAGGTTAATGGTTTGCTTTCCTTTCACCCGGGAGAGTATTTTGGCGTGGCAGCCTCCGCTGTCCCCGTTTGCCTCGCGTGCAAGGCAACAGAGACCGGTGTGTTTTCACCTGTCGCAGCTTTTAAGACGGGTGGACTTCCAACTCCCAGAATTCCCCAGGCAGCGTACCCCAAATGAAGGAAGCCACCAAGCTCGGAGGGGACCAAGGACCCCAAGGTCCTCCTCTCCCTCTCCCTCCTCCATCCCACTCCCTCCTCGCATTGATTGACATTACCTAGTTGGGCAATGAAACGTCTGCAATAAAACTACCAAGCTCAGAGAACACCAAGGATCCCAGTCCTCGTCCTCCTCCATAAATCCCATTCCCTTGTAGCACTGATGATGTCACCTAGTGGGGTAATGAAAGGTCTGCAAGAAAGCAAGAAAGCTCAGAAAACGCCAAAGAGCCCACAATCCATCCTTCCTTCCTTCCTTCCTTCCTTCCTTCCTTCCTCCCTTCCCTCCTTCCCTTCCTCCTTCTCCTCCTCCTCCTCCTCCTCCTCCTCCTCCTCCTCCTCCACACGCAGAACTGGTGGCTCAGAGAGAAGTCTTCTCCTAGCCTACTGGTTTGGCCAGGGCTCTTCTTAACCAGAGCTGTGAAGGATGGAACCTGACCGTCCTGGAAACTTTTCCTGTTCCTCTGGGACAGTTTCTGAGTTTACAAAGGGTAAATAAGCATCCATCAACTCTCTTCAGAATTGCCAGGTGGTTGCTCTCTCTGGCAAAATGTTCCAGCAGTTTATGAAAAGGTAAGCCCAAGAAATGAAGCAATTAAAACTGCTGGAGAAGACAGGGGAAAAAAGAGAGAGAGAGAGAGAATGTTTTAATTATACTTTTATTTAGACCTTAAAATTATACTTTTAATTAGACCTTTTCTAATTTTAGCCAAGGAGCTTCACTGGATCAAAACCTGGTGTATATTTTTTTTCTATATAAGAAACCTTATCACTGTCCAAATCTTGGCTGGAACTTGGGGAAGTAATTTGCCTGCTAATTAAACCAGAAAAAGATCCGTGAAGAAGGTTTTTTGTTCCTGCCATAGGCAGAGGCCCCATTGTTCAGTGAGATTCCTGTTTATTTTGGGGGCCATCAAAGCAGGTGGGCCCGTAAGGTTCTTTTAGTCTGTCAGCTAACCTGCCCGTGGCCAATTTATTCCTTGGATTAGGAGGGTATTAATCTCTCCTAATGGATTCATATATCCCTCCTTGGCTACCTGGAGAATTGAATGGAATAAAGGGGAAAAGAGAAGAGAAAAGGAGAGAAGAGAAGGGAAGAGAAGAGAGGGAGAAGACATAAATAGACAAGAAAAGAAGGGAGGAGAGAGAGAGAGAAGAGAATTTTTAAAATGTTTGTTTCAGCTTGGAGGAAGAGGTTATTTTGTTACATGATTCGAGCGTTGTTTTGATTCTTTTAATTCATATATATTTAAAATTAAGTTCCTGTGTTGTTGCTTAAGAGGACAAAAAGTAACTCAGTGGCTACTTTATGATTTATCTGTATCTATACCGAAGGAAAGTTGGAAGTCAGTTCCTTTTGGTCCCTTTATGATCCCTTCTCCCCCAATTTTCTTTCCTCCTTTTTTTGTGGTTATAAACTGGATTAAAAAAAATAATAATAAGACAGGTCAATTATGAAATCCGGGGGGCGATGAAGGCGTCAGCACCCCATCCGGGCTGTTAACCCACTGACAGAAGGTAGGTTTTTGACTTAGGACCAGAATTGGGAGCAGAAAGCAAAACTCGCTTAACAACTGTCTCGCTTAGTAGAAGGAATTTGGGGGTGGGATTACGGTCGTAAGTCAAGGACGACCTGTGCTCTGGGGAGCTTCCTGTTGATGCTCAAGTGCTGCCTTTCCACAGCCATGTGGCCGTTTGCCGCCTGTAAGTCACAAAAGACGTTTCATTGCTGGCCAAGCCGTCTCAAATCCATCCATCCATCCACCCGCCTCTTATAGCTGATTTGAGATCGGTCCTTTCTGGACTGAGCCGCTCTTGCCGTCAAGGCGGGAGGGGTTCAAATCTTGCGTTCCCGGCTCCGGTGTCGAAGTTGCGTCCCCTTGGCGCAGCGGGCAAAACCCGGCCTCCAATCAACCCATGTGGCACTCCCCTGCTTTTCAAGCCCTAATTGCTTGTTAACAGCAATTTGAGAACTCGGTCCCTGGAGGGACGCAGCTGATCCGTGTATCTGCTGATCTGGGGAGAACACACATGGGAGAAGGTTATTGTTTGGATTTGGGGAAGGTTTTTGAAAAATAAGGGCCCTTCCCCCTCCTCTTCCTCCTCCTCCTTTCCTTTCCTTCCTTCCTTCCTTCCTTCCTTCCTTCCTTCCTTTTTTTTTTTTTTTAAAAAAAGAAAAAAGTCAGTTTTTAAAGTTTGATGATGTAAACACGGGCAGAAATGCCTTTTGATTAATTCCTTGCCTTTTTTTAAAAAATATATTTTTGATCACCTCCGTGAGCCCTTGTACATAAGCAAGCTTCCAACTGTGGATCAAAATGTTTGCCGCTAATGGGTCTTATATGCAGTTCCGCATCTTTCTTTAACCATCGCTCTGCAAAATCCTTCCTCTGTGAAGGGAGGGGAAAAACAAAAAAAAAGCCCAATTTCTACCTTTTCTTTTTTTTTTTTCATCGTTCTCCCACTTCCTTGGCTGCATCTGGGGTATTTTTAGCCTGTCTGCTTCCCTCTCTCCTCTCCTTCCCACTCCTCAAATTTGTTTTTATCCTTTTGAAAGCCAGACTGGCATTTTCTCAGCTTGCTCAGTTTTTCAGTTCTGTGTATTCTGCCTTTCTCTCTCTCTCTCTCTCTCTCTCTCTCTCTCTCTCCATCTGTTTCCTCTTCCATACCTCGTTCATACCACCTTGTTTACTTGCTTGCTCAATCCTGTGAGGTTTATTTTTATACCTTGTCTTCACCTTTCTGTGCATAAGACCTGAAGATCCAGGAGGCTGATTGAGAACTACTACTTCCAAGTAGAGCTAAATGCAGGGGTGATGGGAAGGTGTACAGGTGACCCTTCAGGTAGGACCACCACTGAGCCCAACGTTTAGGCGGCTAAAGTTTAAGCTCTAAAAACCGCCAGCTGGTCTCTGCAGATCCCAATTCTGTGTAGACAGGTACACCTGCCTGGTGCTCCCAACGATTCAGAAAGCCCCAGAATTACAAGCAAGCAAGGTGATCTTGGTTTCATTCCTTGCCTGATTCCCTGCTCTCTCTGGAATAACGAAGTGATTTCTCATCTCAGCTAAGATTGGGCGAAAGCTCTGCACCCAGGAGATTGTTTGGCCCGAAGGAATCCATCACAATCACCAGAATATATCCCGGGCGACATGTTTACGGGGCAAAAATGTGAACGTACAGCTGGAAGGCTTTTCCAGGGAGGGAGGTCAAAGAGTTTTGCTAAAATTAAATACTAAAATTCGCTTGCAGACACGGAGGTCTTTTTAACAAATGTTTTAAGAGATCGGGGGTTGGGTTGATGGTCATGGAAATTGCAGGGCCATCTACGTTACCCTGCCTGATTTAAAACCTGGCGCCTTTCGAAAATACGTTCGCCGTGAGGTATTCGCTGATCGTGATCGTGTTCGTGATCGCCTGACCACGAAGATACTGCAACCCTTTGTAAGCGTGAAAAACAGTCATAACTCACATTTTTCCCCCCACACTGCCATTGTCACTTCTCTAAGGTCACTCAACAAAGTGCTGTAAGTCCAGGACTACCCTGTATAAGGTTGGACTAAAAGACTTTTAACACTTAACAAACGTCTCGCTTAAATTTGGGGCTCCACTGGGGTCGCAGGTCCGACCTGTAGATTGCAATTTATATTGTTTTTATTGAGTTCCCTGGTATGATTTGATTGCTTATGAATAACCTGTGACTATCACTAAGCGTTGTCTCTTACGATTCTTAATGAATGCATTTTATTTTTTTATGTACACCAAGAGCCTATGCATCAGGGACAAATTCCTGGGGTGTCCAATCTACACGTGGCCAATAAAGAACATTCTATCCCTGTCTCTAAATCTCTTTTATTTTATTTCCCTCCCCTCCACATTCTCCCCCCTACCCCCCCACCCCCAAGGACAGAGTCTATCTCGAATGGAAACCATGTCCATGTGTGGGATAGATGAGGACATTCCTCAAGGCGAGCGGAAAACGGTCACCGATTTCTGCTACCTACTGGATAAATCGAAACAGCTTTTCAATGGCTTAAGGTGAGTCGTTTCTTGACTTTGGGTCTCACTGCACACCCGTGGAGGGAGCTGCGTTGGCTCCCGCTGGCCTCCCTCGGGGATGCAAAATTGCAGGGCCTGGCTGTCCACTTCTCTAGGTAGCCCCTGTTGGGCCAGGTTCTTTAAGGCATGGAAAGAGGAATATAACGGAAGCCTCCCCGAGGATGCCCCTCCGACTGTCACTTCTCCTCTTCTTCCTGGTGGATAAACTGAATTTTTTTAAAAAAAAAATTGTTATCTTACAGAGATTTGCCCCAATACGGGCAGAAGCAGTGGCAATCTTATTTCGGCAGGACCTTTGATGTTTACACCAAGCTCTGGAAATTCCAGCAGCAGCATCGGTAAGAGAACTGTCCCCAGTTTTGGGGGGGGGGGGGAGGAGGGGGGGGAGGGGGGGGAGGTCATCCTCTTTGGTGCTCTCTGAGCATGGTGGTTTCCTTGCAAAGATCGTCCAAACTAGGTGACACCTTTAGTGATACTTTACTGGGGAATGGAGGCTACAGCCTACAAGAACAGTTGAAGGAATTGAATAGCTCTAGTTTGAGGAAAAGAAGGACTAGGGGAGACATGATAGCAGCCTTCCAGTATCTGAGGGGCTGCCCCAAAGAAGAGGGAGTCAAGCTCTTCTCCAAAGCCCCTGAGAGGCAGGACAAGAAGCAACGGGTGGAAACTAATCAAGGAGAGACGCAACCTAGAGCTAAGGAGGAATTTCCTGACAGGGAGAATAGAATCCTTTATTGGCCAAGTGTGTTTGGACACACAAAGAATTTGCCTTGGTGCAAGTGCACCAATTCATCTGTGGAACCACTTGCCTCCAGAAGTTGTGGATGCTCCAACACTGGAAGGTTTTTAAGACGAGATGGGAACAACCATTTGTCTGAAACGATGTAGGGTTGCCTGCCTGAGAAGAAGGTTGGACTAGAAGACCTCCAAGGCCCCTTCCAGCTCTGTCACTCTGATATTCTGTTAGTTTGGGAAGTAAAACCTGAAAGACTATGAAGTGCAGAGGTTGTGTATTGAAGTGTCTGACCTGCGCTTTCCTTTTCTTGGGGTGAAGACAAGTTCTGGACAATCGGTACGGCCTGAAGCGCTGGCAGATCGGAGAGATAGCCTCCAAGATTGGGCAGCTTTATTACCACTACTAGTAAGTAACTGCACGTGTGAAAGGGAAGGTTGGGTGGGAAGGGTCAAAGCTAACAAAAAGCAGGGATTTCCTTTCTGCAATTTGAACGGTCATGAAACCAACTGCTGTAAGTCAAGGACTACCTGCAGTTGAATCCCCACATTTTGCGACATGCTTTCAAACAGATTAAAATCTAGGAGTCTCATTATTTGTTGGAGGTTCTCCATTCCACCATGATATACATGACTTTTCTACAGTGAGTTAAAGCTTCTTTGGTCAGATAAGATTAGAAAAAAGAAAGACTCTAGTGATGTAGTTTCTTCTGGGATAGTCGTCCTCGACATGAGCATTTCTGGAAGTGTTGGACTTCTCCAAAACCTGCCTTCTGGGCTGGACACGCTAAAGGTTGGAGTCCAACTGAGAAGAACGTCCAGTCGGAAGACGCCTATGGAGGTCTTCTCCTGATGTTGCCCCAGAAGCCGCATGGCTTGGCGGGCTCTCTTGTAGTGGTTCGTTTTTAGCCCCTTCACCTTTCTGGTGGACACCTTGGATATCTAGTAGACTACCTGGTACGTCTCCTCCAAAGAACCTGAAGGCAGAGTAAGAAGGAAACTAACTGAGGAGAGAAGCAACCTAAGAACTAAGGAGGAATTTCCTGATAGGGAGGATAATTAAGCCGCGGAATTGTTTGTCTCTTGAAATTGTGGGTGCTCCAACACTGGAGGTTTTTAAAGAAGAGACTGGACAGCCATTTGTGGTATAGCTTGAACAGGGGGTTGGACTAGAAGACCTCCAAGGTCCCTTCCAACTCTATTACCTGATCAGAATAGAAAGGAATAAGACTCTCAGGATTGTGCCGGAGGAAAAAATCGTTTGAAGTCGAAGCAGAGAGCTTCTTATCTCAACGCCTCTTTTCTCCACAGCCTTCGCACCTCTGAAACCAGCTATCTGAACGAAGCTTTCTCCTTCTATTCTGCGATACGGCAGAGATCTTACTACTCCCAAGTCAATAAGGAAGACAGGTCAGGCTTGTGAGTTTTCTTTAATTCTTCAAAAAGCCAGAAATGTTGCGTTGTCCGTTGTGTGGCTCCTGTTGGTGGGGACAGGGTGGTGTGACAAGTTCTTCTGGGGATGGGCTTTGGAAAGTCCATCAGCAGTTGAGGCTGGATCTCGGGGACTTAGCGAAAGTTCCTTCTCCCCACGGGATTTGCTTTGCCTCATCCATCCATCCATCCATCCATCCACCCATCCATCCATCCATCCATCCATCTATCTCTACTCAAAATGAGAGAGAAAAAGAAGGAGAAAGTTAGATCATCAGTTAGGACTTTTGAGAAGAAGAAAGTCAGCCTAAATATGGTGTCCCTCAACCTTCCTCTCCCAAGAAGCAAGATATTTTCTTTTTTTGCCGAATAGTTGTCCTCCCATCGGCTTTCCTCTTTTCGCAGGCCTGAGCTGGTGGTTAAGAAACTACGTTATTACGCCCGGTTCATCGTGGTTTGTCTCTTACTCAACAAAATGGTTGTAGTCAAGGATCTTGTCAAGGCAAGTCTCCCCTTGGTGTGACGCTCAAGGTTGTAGCCGGTGGTGGTCTTAAGAGAAGACCTTTGCAAGGAATGTCTGGTTTTTTTTCCCCCCCAGGAACTCTCGGATGAGATCGAAGATTACACCCACCGTTTCAACACCGAGGATCAAGTCGAGTGGAATCTTGTCCTGCAAGAAGTGGCCGCTTTCATTGAGGTAAGATCTGCAGAGATCTAACAAAAATTCCTGCTCATCCACACCCCAAAGAGGCTATTTCCCTCCCACCAGATCGTTCCATCTTTTAAGCAAAGAAAAGAAAAGGGAAGGATCTTTTTCGGATGTGTTTCTCGAGCCGTCCCAAGGACCGGCTCATAGAATTCCACTGCTCTCCTCTCCTCTGCCTTCTGTGCATCTGCACGTCAGGCACTGAGCCCGGCTGTTCCTCCTCCTGACTCCCACGCCTCCTCCGCCTCTGCTGGAGGGGCTGGCGGTTGACAGGGTCTCAATTGTGGCTGTAAGACGAGGACTACTTATATGGAAAGAACCATTGGCCTTGCTGATTTTTATGCCGTTATCACATGTTATCTCTTAAGCTTCATCGGCTGGGGTTGGTTCTCCAGACCCTTCATCATCTCGATCTTCTCTCCAGGCAGACCCAGTCATGGTCTTGAATGATGACAACACTCTGGTCATCTTGTCCAACCGCCTGTCGGAAACAGGAGCCCCTTTGCTGGAACAAGGCATGATTGTGGGGCAGTTAACGCTGGCCGACGCCCTCATTATCGGCAATTGCAACAATCAGGTGGGTCTCTCCCCCCCCCCCCCCCGCCTTGGCGCTTGCGTGTCACCGCACGTCGCCCTGACAGAGTGGACGTCGGCTGGTATATAGGTGGTTCTTGACTTACAACCGTTCCATTTAGTGACCGTTTGAAGTTGAAACAAAGGGACAAAACTCTCCCAGGAACAGCCTTTGGCTGCAGAGAATCAAGTCCAAAAAGTGGCCCACAAAAAGTGTAACGATAAGCCCGATCAAGGCAAGGTGAAGTCATTAGCCTGGCAGGAATTCCAGATGTGAAGGAACGGCAATAACTCCACATGGTTGGGAGGATGCCCGGAACGCAGATAACCAAAGTCAACACAAGATAAACTCACGTTTGCTCCTAGCAGACGCCGCACTCAGCATGCCTCTCTTTTAAACTCTCTTCCCAGGTGTGGCTAATGAAGGGAATCAGGGCCCTTTCCTCCCCCGTAAGCCAGGCAACCCACGTTGCTCCCTTCTCCGTTCCTCCCTGCGTGCCCTAGGATGAAGAGGGTGGTGCGTCTGGGTCTTCCTCTGAACTCCCTCTCCCTTGTTCTACCTCTCCCTTGTTCTACCTCTCCCCTGCTCTGCCCAGCCGGACTTTGCCCTTCCCCAGTTTCCTCCACAGCCAACGGAGCCACACTCCCACTCCCTGTCAGCTGCATTGGTGGGATGAGAGCCTGCCTTGTTTTGAACCTTACTCCAAGCCATCTCCAACCTGGTTTAAAATGCCCCCCTGGTTCTTTGGCAGGTGAAGTTCAGTGAGCTGACCATCGACATGTTCCGCATGCTTCAGGCGCTGGAGAGGGAGCCCATGAACCTTGCGACACAGATGAACAAGCCAGGGCTACAGGCAAGTCTGTCCTGCCTAATAGGGTCACGCTTCTTCTGGTTTTCCTTGGAATTGTGGGTCAGCCGTTGTGGCAGGCGCTTCAGAGCGCTCGTCCCCGAGGCTTGTAGGTATTCCTCTCCAAGATCCGGCCTTCAAGTCTGAGGTACGCCTCCCGCCCTTCCTCCAGGGATGCTCCAAGGTTACGGCAGGTCGGGGGAGGAGAAAGGGAGCGTTGCCAGCCCAGAATTACTCAGAGAGATTCCTTAACTTGGGGGCAACATTTGAATTTAGGTCTTCCGAATGCTGGCTGGAGCTCCATTAGGTTTTGCTCTGTTGAGGTTAACACAATAAAAATGACCCCAAAATGGGTTCAATCCCCCTCCCTCTCTTTCCCTCCTTCCCTTTACTTCTTCCTTCCTTCTTCCTCCCTCTTTTCCTTCCTTCCTTCCTTCCTTCCTTCCTTTCTCTCCTTCCCCTTCTTCCCACTTTTCCTTCCTTCTCCTCCTTCCCCTTACTACTTCCCTATTTTCCTTCCTTCCTTCCTTCCTTCCTTCCTTCCTTCCTTCCTTCCTTCCCCTTCCTCCCTCTTTTCCTTCCTTTCTTCCTTCCTTCCTTCCTTCCTTCCTCTCTTTCTCTCCTTTGAAAAATTGTGTGTGTGTGTGTGTGTGTGTGTATTGTGTATACACACACACACATATATAAACATATATATACTATAAACATGTATATATATATTGCATAATATATATTATATAAGCAAGCAAACAAACAAACATATAGGCACATACACAAACACACACACACACGGAACTTCTTTAAGGAGGTGTGTTTTTTTTCTTCCTCAGGAAAGCACCGAAAAACCAGCCAGAAGAGAAAACCCTCACAAATACTTGTTGTACAAGCCAACTTTCAGCCAGCTCTACACGTTCCTTGCAGCGTCATTTAAGGTTTGTGAAGCAGAGGTGAGGCTGGCCCCATCCTCCGATAGGAGCTTCAATCTCACCTGTCCCTCCCTGGAGGCAGTAATAAGCTCAGTGAGGTCAAGATGTTGTCCAGGGAAGGTGAGGGTGACCCTGCATAGGGAACAAGGCAGACTGATGAGGTTACCTCCTTGGGTCATGAAACGTCTGCTAGAAAACAGCCAGGCTCAAGAGAACACCGGGGACTGCACAGTTCAACCCCGAGCTGCAGATGTTTTCCTCTGTGAATATGAGTAAAACTCCATGAGGGTTTCACCTTGTTTTCCAGAAGGAATTTGCTTGACTTAAGAGAATTAGCTTGGGGGGTTGGTGTAGTTTGTTCTCCCCTAGATTGATCTGTTTGGGTTTTGGGTCAACCTGTGACAACAGATCTTCAAACATGTCTCTTTTCCCAAATACGTCTTCTTGACTTCCCTCCCCTTCCTCCCTCCCTTCTTTCTTCAAATATTTTTCTATCCATCTTTTCTCCTTTCCTCCCTCCCTCCCTTTTGCCTCTTTCCTCCCTCCCTTCGTTCGTTCCTTCATTCCTTCCTTCCGCCTCTCTTTCTTCCCTCCCTCCTCCCATCCGTCCCTTCCTCTCAAATATGTTTCTATCCATTGTTTCTCCTACCTTCCTTCCTTCCTTCCTTCCTTCCCTCCCTCCCTCCCTCCCTCCCTCCCTCCCTCCCTCCCTCCCTCCTTCCTTCCTTCCTTCCTTCCTTCCTTCCTTCCTTCCTTCCTTCCTCTCGAAATATTTTCCATCCATCTTTCCCCCTTCCCTCCCTCCCTCCTCTCTCTCTCTCCTGGTCCCCTTTTCAGGAGCTGCCTGCCAACAGCGTGCTGTTGATCTACTTGTCAGCCACCGGAGTCTTCCCTTCAGGTCGTTCGGATAGTGAAGGTACAAATAAAGGAATGCTTCCTGTCGTGAACAGGGCTTGAATTCTCTTTCCAGTTTAAGGGCAGCAAGGCGGCCTCCATGCTTAACCCTAAGCCTGCTCTCCGGAGAAGTGGACCTTTCCCTTCGTTGGGTCTTGGGGGGGTGGGGAGGGCGGGCCTTCCACTCTTTGGGCCCAGAAGATTGTGACCCCAAGTCTGGTCCTTTCGTGGGGTGGAGACCTCAGCTGGAACCCTTCCCGCCCTACCGCCAATGGGCCATGTCACTCAGGGACGTGTCCCTCTGGAGAAGAAGGGTCGAAGAAGCCCCTGAGATGCTTTGGGGCTCCTTATGGCGAACACCTGGTAGAGTGTGGTGAAGCAGAGATGCTCTTATGGACTGTTGTGGGTCATACCACCTAACCTATCAGAAATCCCGATGGTTTTTTTTTGCTTTACCTGGCCTGGGGAACACCTGGTCTTTAGGAGCTTTCCAACCTGGTCTTGGGGTGACATGGTGGCTGTTTTCCTTGTTGGTCATGACAGTTCAAGCCTTTCTCACGACCGCGATAGTTTCCGTCCTCCGGTCCTCACTTCTGTGTCCTTCCTTGATCAAAGGACTATCTGTTGCTTGCCCCCTCCCCCTCCCAGCTCCTCCTCCTCCTCCTCTTCCTCCCACTTTTTTAAAAAAAATTGCTGCTAAATCCTTGGAGAGAAATTAAGGATCTGGCGGGACCGGATCTGTCCCCAACCAAGGGCTCCCTTGGCATTGACGTCGCACCCACCCTTCATCCCATCCATTTTGAGATTTGCATTCCTTTATAAAATGCATGCTTATGACATCTGCCTTGCATGAATCATACAACTTTTCCAGAGTCTTTCTCAATCATTTCTCCCAACAAAACCCTACAAAACGATAGAGGTAAAGGTTGCGGGTCCCGCCCGCCCCGAAAGAGCTTTGGAAAAGCTGTTTACGGGGTTTGCGGCGTGTGTTTTGGTGCTGGGTCGCTTCTATCTCTTGCTAGAGGAAGGGGTTGGGCTAGAAGAGCTTTAATGTTGCTTCCAACTCCGCTATTCTGTTCTTTTGTGGTCTGTGTTTTGTGATCTCATTGTCTCTGGTAGTTGATAGACCAACCTCTACCTCTAACTTTGGGAAAGCCCTTGAGATGTCTACCTTGCGGATGCTTTTAAGTGGAATGGGAACTGCAGCTCAAGGCCATCCAAAGCTTTCGGCGCCATCTCATAAAACCCAAGTATTGCAGAAGTTTCTGCTCACTTTGGTCTCTGTAGACCGTGATTAAGACACGGCACGTCACAGCAAGCCTTGGTCTGTAGAAAAACTCCAATGAACTATGTCCTGGTTTGAGATGCATGAAGGAACATATCCAACGCAGGAGGTCCATCTGACCAGAGTAATTCTTGGACTTCTGGACGACCAAAAGCCGTTACGGATAACGTGGCTTTGGCTCTCAATTTAAAAGGGTGCATTGAGTGACTGATGAGATGCCTTCAAGCCAGTGCCAATTCTTTGCAATCGCCTGGCTCTCTCTGTGTGAGGAGTTCCCAATCAGACCCTCCAATGGAGAATGGGGCATATAGTGCAGCATCTAACGCTGATTTATACAATCGTCTTTCCCACCCAACTCGGTTGGGCGTGAACAAGGTTTGTCTCCATTTGGGTTATTCGAAACATAGAGGCCGTGTCAGCTTTTAACAGTGGTTTATATGCAAGACTGCTGTATACATACATACATGTGTTAGGTAAATACCTGGCAAGCAATCAATCTTCAACTCTACACGGAGAACTACTATGGAGAGAGAACACGAAGAGAAGACGCCCTCTCATGGCCTCCTTTATATAGACAGCTTCTTAAAGTGGCAGTAGCCCTGCTGGCTCATCCTCATTGCATCAGCATTTACAGCAGTTGCTCAGCTGTTAAATCTTCATTACCTTAAGAGGCAGTCCTCAACTTACGGCCACAGCAGAGCCCCAAATCTCTGCTGCTAAGCGAGATATTTCTTAAGTGAATTTTGCCATGTTTTTACGACGGTTTCTTAAGTGAACTACTGCAGGTGATATGTTAAGTCACCAGTCGTTAAACGACCCTGGCTTCCCCATGGAGGTCACAAAAGGGGATCCCATGACCCCCCCCCCCCGGGACATTGCAACCGACGTTGAGTACATGCCAGTTGCCACGAATTTTGATCCCAGGATCACAGGGTGGTCGCTGTGAAAAACAGTTGTAGGTCACATTTTTGCAGTGCTGTTGTAACTTTGGATGGCCACTAAATGAACTGCTGTACGTTGAGGACTAACCGCAACCCACATATTCCTTCTTTCAACCGCTTAACTTCCAAACAGCTCCATGCTTCTCAAACTTGGCAGCCTTAAGATGGATGGTTTCAAGCCAAGGTTTATTGTCCAGCTAGTCATCTGTATGCTCTTTCAACTACTGTCGGAATTCTTCCTCCTGGGATTTTTGGGGGTCTCTGTGTTCCGTGTTTATCTCATTGCCAAGCCAGCTGCTGTCCTTACCTCCCACTTGCTCCCTGCAGGTCCCTACGATTTTGGGGGCGTCCTGACAAATAGCAACCGGGATATCATAAACGGGGACGGAATCCACAAACGGAACCAGTTGTACAAGGAAATGCATTGGTGAGTGGCTTGTTCCTCGGCCCTCTACGAGACTGATAGGTGTAGACAAAAAAACCCATATATAGGCAGTCCTGCACTTAGGACCGGATGTCAGGGTTCCAACACCCCCGAAGCAAACAAAACTCTGAGGCAGGCCATTTCGTCAAAGAATAGGTCTATTGGATACCTCCTATTGGCACAGGCTGGTGGAAAACCCGACTCTGAATATTCCCGCAGTTTTTTCACCCGATCAAAAGTAACAGTGTGTCATTTCCCCAAAACAGCCAGTCACGTGGCCCAATCGGGATACTGTCCAGTTGCTAGGTGACATCAAACCCCTCCTTCTGAGCACCTGCAGGAATGTCCTTGGTTCCCAAGAGAAAATATTTTGCTTTGGCTACAATACCCCCAACTATCTCCTATTTCCCCCTCCCTATCCCTCAGCTCCATTGCGTTAGCTCTGAAGTCTCAAAGGGCCCTTGGTCAGGCCAGCTTCAGGGTGGACACTGGAATTTGACTTTCCTCCAATGGCTTCCTTCCTCCCTCCCTCCCTCCCTCTTTCTCTCCTTCCCCTTGCTACTTCTTCCTTTTTCCTTCCTTCCTTCCTTCCTCCCTCCCTCCCTCTCTTTCTCTCCTTTGAAAAATTATATATATATTACACATTCTGGATTCCACCACCACCCCTTTTTTTTTTTCCAGCTTGCACCCTGGTGATCTCTACCCTTTCACCAGGAAACCTCTGTTCGTCATAGTGGATTCCTCGAACAGCGTTGCCTACAAGGTAAGCCTGTTTAAGAGTGACTAGTCCTCTTGAGTGTATCAACCAGGGATAATCCTGGGATTACGTACGGAATGGCATGAAGAGGCCAAGAGAAGGAAATTAGCTTAACATTGGAGAAAGATTTTCTTTCTTGGATCTAGCCCTTAAGTTGCCAAAGGAAGAGTAAACTGTAAATCTATTTCCCTCCCAAAATCTAAAGGGTTGTAGAAGAGAAAACCTGAGCTTGAGTTCGGGTTCTGCACAAAGCATCTCTTTTGGAGCAATAATCCAGAAAAAAGAGACTTGGGTGGCATGAGGTCTAGTTCCATCATAGGCACGGAAGCCAGCTGGGTGAGTTTGGGCCAATTCCTCTTTCTCTCAGTCCAACCCACTTCACAGGGCTGTTGTGGGGAAAATAAGAGGCGGAAGGAGCCTCAGCTACATCCACCGCTTTATTTATAAAGAAACGATAAAGGTGGAGTATAAGCAAAAGGCTGTTCTTGGTTTTCCAACGTTCCTTATGGATCAAAGCATCGAGGGCCGCAGGGGAGTCTGCCTTGCAGCTACCCTTCCTTTGGAAGTTTGTTTGGTCGTGGGAACCCACCTCTTGTGATCCACAAGGCTTGCTCTGAGGGATGGGCCGTTGCGGAATCAGAAAACCTGGCCCACTCAGCTGGCCAGCTCTACGGAGCACTTTCTGGCAGACGACGTTTATTTATTTCCACCACTCCATTCATATTTTCTCCCTTTTTGCTAAGGCCAGCAACTCTGCCCCGGCTGCTATTTTGCACAGACCTGCAGACAGGAATTCCCTCCGCTCCCCCCCCCTCCCCCCTCAGCTCATAAATCTGCTTGAGCTACTTCCGTCTCGGTCAGGAGCGCTTTGCTTAATCGGCACATTGCTAAAAGACTGGGAAGAAAGGGGGAGAGAGGAGAGAGAGAGAGAGAGAAAGAAAGAAAGAAAAAAAAAGAGAAGAATAAGGAAGAAAGAAAGAAAGGAAGGAAGAGAGAAAGAATAAAGAGAAGAATAAGAAAGGGGGAGAGAGAAAGAAAAGAGAAAGAAAGAAAGGCAGAGAGAGAAGAGAAAGAAAAGAGAAAGAGAAAAGAGAGAAAGAAGAATAATAAAAAGGGCGAAAGAAAGAGAGAAAAGAGAGATAAAGAAAGAAGAGAGAGAAAAGAATAAGAGAAAGAGAAAAGAGAGAAAGAGAAGAGAAAAAGAAGAAAGAGAAGATAGAGAAAGAGAAAAAAGAGAAAGAGAGGAAGAAAGAGGAGCCAGGCCGAGGAGATGAATATTACTCAGATTATCTCTGCTGGTTTTCATTATATCATTTTTTAGGAGGGATTAGTTTAAGGAAACATATTGGTCTGACCCCTCGTGATCAAAGTTCGGCCACTGCGACACTGGGCAACTGACATGTACTTACGATGGTTGCAGTGTCCCTCGGTGTGTGTGTGTGTGTGTGTGTGTGTGTGTGTGTGTCTCCCCCTTTGTGACCTTCTGACCAGCCAAGTCCGATTCGGTTTTAACAACCGTGCGACTCACTTAACAACTGCAGACAGCCGTGGCCAGAAAGGTCGTAAAATGCGGGCACAACCAGCCCAAACAACCCTCTTTGCTGAGCGACATAAATTCTGGGCTCCATTGGGGTCATAAGTCGGGGACTACCTCTCTCCTCTCTCCCCCCCCCCCCCCCACCATTCCGGGGGTTTACCACCTGCTAAATATTCACAGCGTCCACCTCTATCGTTCCCGCCGTGAGGAATATGCTAAGAAGAAGAAAAGAAGAAAAATAACATTTCTTGGCAAGAAAAAACAGTTTTGCTTCCCAGCAGGGCCTTCCACGCCGGGGAAAATATCCCGTTGTGTCGTCCATATGATTTCCTGATGCACAAACGTAAACACAGGCTTCTCGTGTTCAGTCTGGGTTTGGGCATGTTTTGTCTTACCTATTGAGTCCTTCCCAAGGATCTGAATATTAAGTCCAGGATGATGATGTAGTTGTTATTATTATTGTTATTATTATTATTATTATGGAGCAAAACTGTCTCTGAGGTGCCTTTTCCTGTTTTCCTTCTAGAATTTCACCAATTTGTTCGGGCAGCCGCTGGTCTGCTTGCTTTCTCCCACCACGTATCCGAAAGCGTTGCAAGGTAGGCAGTCATGGGATGGCGAGATGGTTTGCAGGTGGTCCTCGACTTACGACAGTTCATTTAGCAGCTGTTCGAAGTTACGAAAAAAAAAGGAGGGGGGACTTTTCAGACTTACGGCCGTTGCAGCTGCCCCCGTCACGGGATCCAAATTCAGACGCTTGGCCACAGACTTGTATTTACGACGAGTCCGCAGTGTCCCGGGGATTACGTGATTTCCCCCTTTTGCGACCTTCCGACCAGCCAAGTCAGATTCGTTTAACAACCGGGTTATTAACCTAACAGCTGCCGGGATCCACTTAACGACTGTAGATTGTTGTAAAATGGGAGAAGATTCCCTTAATAACTGTTTTGCTTAGCAACAGTTGTTGGCTCCATTGTAGTCGTAAGCCGAGGGCTACCTGTATTTCCATTTTCTGGCAAAAAAAAAAAAAAGAAATCCGTCGTGGACAATGAATTTGCTTAACAGCCGCCGTGTTTGCTTACCGACTGCTATTAAAAAGGTCGTTAAAAATCAGGCATGGGCTCAGTGACGGTTGTAAGTGAAGGACTGCCTGTAAGCGCACGGATGATGTTACTGAGTCAGGCAACGAAGCCGGGAAGCCAGTCGCTTCAGATAACATCCGTCCAGTCGGTAGGCTTAAAAATAAGAATTTCACACCTGCCCAACACCATAAAGGGCCAGCAAAAGTCTTTGCCCATTGCACAATTCTTGGAGACTTTTAGTGAGGCAGGAGGAGAGAAAACGAAGGAAGGAAAACTTGGATGGGGCCCAGGAATGTAGCTTTTATCTTGGAATCCGGAGTCCTTAAATTTTTCGTTGGAATGTAGAAGGAGTTTCCAGTTTTATTGGAGACAGGCTGGAATTTAAACCGCAGAGGCCCTCTTATCAAAACTTGCTGGGGGAAAAAAAAAAAAAGCAAAGTCCTCATTAAAGGTAGTCCTTGACTTACAGCAGTTCCTTTAGTGACCGTGCAAAGTTACGACGTCATTGAAACAAAAGATTACCTGTGCAGAGGGTTGCACTGGGTGTGGATTTTCACAGCTGTTTTCTTTCAAGCCAAGCTTTAGCTGACTTGGTTGGTTGGGATTGACTTAGCGGCAACATTTCTGGCTTCTTAGCAAGTGCAGATTCTCCATCATCCAGAATCATGGTTGTCCCAGAGGTGCTTTTTTTTTCCCAAGAGGCAACTAGACTTCCTTGTTTTTCTTGGTTAAGATGTTTCACTTCTCACCCAAGAAGCTTCCTTAGCTCTGACTGGATGGTGGCGGTGTGGGGGAACGGAAGGATTGATACTCCTTGCAGACAGCTGATCATTTGCATCCTTTTAGGGTGTTGTTGAGGCCCCTTGGAAGTTTGCCTATGTCCTCAGGGTCACCTGAGTGGTGCCAATGGGTGTGGAGCCTTCTTGGAACTGTTGGAAGGACTGTGTTTGTAGAAGGTTCCACATCCATTTGCCACCATTCAGGTGATCCTGAGGACACAGATAAACCTCCAAGTGGCCTCAACGACCCTCTAAAAAGGATGCAAATGACCAGCTGCCTGCAAGGAATGTAAATCCTTCCTTTCCTCATCATCCGGTCAGAGCTGAAGAAGCTTCTTGGATGAGAAGCGAAACCTCTTCAAAGGCAAACAAGGAAGTCCAATTGCTCCTGGAAAACAGGCCGCTGTGGGACGTCCTTAGCAAGTCTTGGTTGGGAGCTAACTAAATTGACTGGTTTGAAAGGCGCTCGATACCAATTAATTTTCCCACCCGTTTTTCCAGTCCCTATAAACTGTAACTGGTGGAGAGGTGTGTCACTCTCAGAGAAAGAGAGAGAGAGAGACTCCCCTTCCCCACCTCCTTCCCAGCATGAAGTCCAGTCTGGTGACATAATTTGTGACCCAGGAAAACTGGTGGTCAGCTGTGAAGGCATGAGAGAAGCTGGAGACTTCACCGTCTGTCTTTTAGAGGTAAGTTCTCCTCCGTCACGAAGGGGGAAATCGTCTCTGGTGCTCCTGGGAGAATGCTGGAAAAAAAAACAAAAAAACTATATATATAGATATAGATAGATATATTACTTGACTTGCCATTACAAGCAAAGTTACATTCACAGAACGACCACGTTGCTGACGTAATAACTGTAGGGGTTCACTTAACAGCAGCGGCAAGAAAGGCGAAACACACTGAACGACTGCCTCGCTTAGCCGCAGAAATTTGGAGGGCTTGGTTGTGCTCATTAAGTCGAGAACGGAGCCATGTTTTCTCAAAGTTGGCGACTCTAAAATGGCTGGACTTTCAACTCCCAGAATTCCCTGGCTTGGGAATTCTGGGGAGTTGACATCCTCCCTCCCTCCCCACCAATCTTGGTCCCCCCCAGGTTGAGAAGAACTGGTCCAGAGTAAGGCTGGAAATGGGATATTCCCCTTTAAAAACAGCAACGACAGCCGCAGTACCAAACCAAACGGTGAATGTCTCCAGCAGACAGACAGAGAGAGAGAGAGAGAGAGAGAGAGAGAAGAAAACTCCTACAATTCCCAAAGATTCTTACAGATTAATTCATTCAATTTTGTTTTCATGCTACCAATTTGCAAATGGACTTGTGTGGTTGTGTAATTCACCCCCAAATAGCGGGACAGTAATATAAAAGGATCATTATTAAAGCTACCAAACTCTTCTTATAAATTATCCTAACCACAAGGGATAAAATATCTGCTCTTCTGAACTTCTCAAAAGCGGTGGAGAATTCAGAATTGTCATTGTGAGTCACTTCTCTCTCTCTCTGTGTGTGTGGGTGGGTCTGTTTCTCTCTGTCGCTCTCTCTGTCACTCTTTCTCTCTCTGTCTCTCTCGCTCAAGGCTTGTTTCTGCTGAATGCAGTGTGATGCAGTCATTTGTTTTTATTGTCTTACAGATCAATCACAACGAGGAAGCCTCTTCACTTTCTTCCTGAACAACCCTCTGATGGCATTCCTGTTTGTCTCCGGATTATCCAGCATGCGCAAAGGACTCTGGGACAAATGTCACGATTACCTTCGTAAAATCAACCGGGATATTGCACAACTCTTGACTCATTCCCGCTCGATAGGTATGCTTTGGAAGGAAAGAAAGAGGCAAACACCCGAACCACTAGCAACTCCTGTGTAAATATACTAGCAACATCGTGTGTGAAGACTAGCAGCTCGTGTATAAACCAGATAGTTTGTTCGTTTGATAGGTCAAGAGCTCATCTGACCGCCACGTGGTTACTCATACTCCGGTGGCTTAGAATTCTGATGTTGATCTCCCGTGTTCCCATGAATGACTTGGATGAAGAAGTGAGGAGATGTTGTGTGCTAGAACGGTCAAGAGAACGTAGAGAGGGTGGGAAATCTTTGTGAATCCTGGTAAAATAAAAACCAAAAGAAACTCAAAGCAGCTACCATATATTGCTCATGTTAGATCGGTAGAGTCATTGTGAAGGTAACATATCAGTTGATAAATTGACATAGATTATGTTAGGTAGAAGTACATTGTGTTGGCTATAAGCTGGAGTACATCATGTTAGGTATCTGACGTAGATACAGGTTGAAGTAAGTTGAACTAGATGGAGTTAAGTATAAGTTGAAGGACATTGTATATTGACTTTTTTTTTCAGCACCATCGTAACTTCAAATGGTTCCATCTAAATGAATGGTCAAAAATTAAGGACTACCTGTATTCTAATTTCACTTTTCTCTGTTTCTTTTCCCCCTCATTATAGACCAGGCCTTCCTCCAGTTTTTTGGAGACGAATTCCTGCGCTTGCTTCTAACGAGGTTTATTTTCTGCTCAGCCACCATGAGAATGCACAAAATCTTCCGGGTATGGCAATCAATCAATCTTCCTTCCTTCCTTCCCTCCGTCCCTTCTCTCCTTCCTTCTTTCCTTCCTTCCTTTTCTCCTCCCTCCCTCCCTTCTCTGCTTCCTTCCTTTTCTCCTCCCTTCCTCCCTTTCTTCCTGTCAAACTGGGCAGGGGCTGAAGGGTTTGCAGAGTTGCCTATTTCAAATACTTCCCCCTGAGTTTCAGCTCAATTTTATTGGAGACTTAAAATGTTTCATTGTACCTCAATACTCCTTATTAATTGATCCTAATTGGGCAGAAGGCACAATGAGTACTAAAAATGATGAACACCAGACAATTTTTTTTCCTATTAGGAATAACGTAACACACTTCTGCATTAAGTACCCCCCAAAATACGATGCGTATCGGGACAAAAAGTTCATGTCAAAATGTATGAAGTACCAAATTCGAAGCGTTTCGAAGCCACAGCGATACCGCTATCCTTTCATATTGCCGTTTTGTTCCGGCTGTAATTTGGTATTCTGCGCTCCAATGTCCTTTTCAGAAGCGGCTCTGTTGCCTTTTGTGGCCGTTTTCTTATTTTTCCCTTCCTTTTCCCTCTTCCAGCAGGAAACGAGGAATTATCCCGAATCGTACCCGCAGCTGCCCAGGGATGAAACCGTGGAAAACCCACACCTCCAAAAGCACATTTTGGAATTGGCTTCAATATTGGATGTCCGAAACGTATTTTTGGAGACCACCCTCGACGATTATTAAGTACGGAGAAACACATCATCGTCTGGAGGTCTTTTAAACCCTCACTGCAAAAAAAAAGAAAAAGGGGTGTTTTTTTTGGAAATGGTGCAGTTTTCTAAACGTGAACATCCACGCACGCACACACACGCACGCACGCACACACACACACACACACAGAGACAAAGGAATTTACTTGAGTTTTATTTTGGAACTTGACGGTGTTATATATATATTTTTTTCTTTTTTTAAAAAAAAGGTAAAATGGAAAGAAAGGAGGGGGGCACTTGCCCAGCTGTTCTGTTCTGCATGGATTCGATTTTGATAAAAAAAAGGAAGAAGAAAGAAAACAACCCCCGGCGCACACACGAAAGTTTTACAAATTTTAGACTGAAACAATCTGGTGGGTTTTGAAGCTTTTTCGTTTGTTTGTTTTTGTTTTGAGTTGGAAGACGTCACTGGCCACACAACAACAACAACAACACCCACCCATTGAAATGCAGCCAGTCACTTTTAAGCCCTCGTTGTGCAAATCCTTTATTTTTGTACTGTTTTTAAAAATCCAAAAGCAAAAAAAGGAAAAAAAAAGAGGAAAAAAAAAAAGAACAGAGGAGGGAACCAAAAAAAAAACACAAAAAAATCCCCAGGAAAAAAAAATATGAATCTTCTATTTCCCCAAAGATTTAAATCCTGAACGGCAGGACTTCAAATGGTGCAAAGCGGACAGCAATAAGCGTGAGTCGAAGTCAATAGGTTTCATTAATACGTCCCCCCCTCAAAAAAAGAATCCGGCTCAGTTGAAGAGAGATGGTTGTGTAAACTTAAGAACATACAGCGCTGTCCATAAGTTTTGTGGGGTATTCCTTTTTTCCTTCTTTTTTTGAGAAATCAGCCTATATCGCACATGGGCTAAGGAAGCTGGACTTTGTCCCTCAAAACCTAGAATTTTGGCCCATTATCACATCCAAAGATTATGAACCACCCTCTGTGCATCCCTTCAGTTTGGGCTTTTAAGTCACAAGGAAAAAAACAAAAAACAAAATTCCACCCCTTTCTCTGAACGCAAACCATGGTCAATTCTCACCGCAATATGGAAGATTCCCCGGTCCCTCCACCTCAACTTCTGAAAGAGCGGCTTTCATCCCGTTCGTCCTTTGAGGGCGGAAGTTCACCCGGTGAAGAAAAGAGAGAACAATCACTGCCTCGCCTCTGTGTTCAAGCTGCTCAAAAGAGGGGGGAAAAAATTTAAGAGGAGGCTCCTCATCTCACCTTCTTAACTGCCAGCGAGAAATGTCTACCTTCCAGAGCTGTTGCTAGACAAAGAGAAAGACGAATAAGACTCGTGGGGGACTGTAAGACCTCAAGAGGAAGCTTTGGTGTGATGAATTTTTGGGAAAATGCGAGGAGAAGACGACAACGGTCTTCACCATCTGGTTTTTTTAAGGGGCAAACAACTCAAGAAGCAAGACCTATCTCCAAAGCTTTCATGGAAGGACCTCAAGTTTGCATTTCTTGGCCTACAATCTTGGCCTCCCAGTGATTTGGGCTTGACGCAACAGTGGTCCTGAAGGATAATGTTGAATGCTTGGAGCCCAGCGAAGAAGTCCTCTAGATGGGAAAATGGGACAAGCATCTTCAGACATCAAGATTGAGGAGGAGATCTGAGGGAATCATGATGTGGGCTTGGTGTCCATGTGCTGCTGTTTTCAAAGACCCCCATCCTATGCTTTTTTCCCCCTCCCCCTGCCAAAGGAGTACATTGATGAAATCCAATGTATTTGGACTAAGCTAGAGTAAGCGCACAAGTCCACTGTTCTTCTTTTTTTTAAAGGGCGGTAGGGAATCTCCGAGGAAGCATATTCCCCGATATATTAAGAGGTTGCTTTTGAAAAGTTGAGAAGCTCACCTTGAGCAAATGGGATCCTTGCGGTAGCTAGGGTGGAACAAGTCTGGAAGGAGGAGGACCGAGAAAGAAGGAGTCCCTTCTCTTGATCCAGATGCCCAAGGAAATACAGTTTTTAATCTCAACATCTGCTTCTTCCAGGGGTCGTACAAGCCGCTTCGCAAGCAAGGACACGGCACCTGGCCCTTTTGAGAAGTAGCAAGGTTGGGAAGTGGTTGCCGTCATGAAGAAAGGCAACCTTGGGAGAGACAGCAAGAAGGTGCCTTAGGGTCGGGCCTAAAGTGCAATGAAGATACGATAGGTGTTGAGTTTTACTTTTTTCCTTTTTGAGGAAGAAAAAGAAAGGAGGAAGAAGGGAACGAAGGAGGTAGTTCTGGTTCTGGAATGCCTTCATTGTTGACTTGGCAATCAAAATAAGTAGCTTCATAGCAAACTTGTGTTTTTAATGGCGTTCAGTTTGGTCTAGGCGCAGCGCGTTTCCTTCTGTGGTGCTTTGTCGTGTCTGCCCAGTTACGGTTCGTCAAAGACAAGTCTGGGTGCAGCCGTGTCTCGTCACGCATCTGCCTACCTGTGCTCCGCCTGCCGAGTTGTAAATGTGTACGTGTGCATGTAAATATGTAGATATATTTATAAATATAAGGAGCCCTGGGAACCATTGTTGTACAATTTTTTAAAAAAAAGAAGAAAGAAGAAGAAGAAGAGGTTTATGTAGGTTCTGAACCGAAGTCAGGCCCTCCAGGTGACATAGTTAAGAAATGCCCTTCAGGTTGTCATGAGTCAGCAGACAGGTGGTGGGCTGTTCCAGCCGGAGGCTTCAACCCCCCCCTCATTGCCGAGTTCCTTGGGCGTCTTCCCAAGTTGACTTCCAATGAGGTCGTTCTGGAAGAAGTTGACTTAAAAGACCCTTTCTATCGCCACATTCTGGGAAACATCTTCGTTGGAGTTCAACGCTTCGCTGGTGTCTCTAGTTACATGATGAGGGCAGGGGTGGGATTCAACCGGTCGTAGCAGCAGCAGCCGGTTTGGTGAGCGCGCGCCCAGCGTTTGAACACCGCCCATTTTCAGCTCTGACACTTACCCCCAACTGCAGCCCCGGTGAGTAAAACAGCTGAGGTGCGGCAATCGCCGTGAATGCGACGCGAATCAGCTGAGCTGCATAACACAGAAATAAAGGACAGACTAGAGCCAGGACAGGTGGTCGCGACCAAATTGATCACCGGTAGAATCCCATCCCTGGATGAGGGTGATAGTAGGATTGTGCTCTGGTCTTGCTCCATCCTGCCTTAGTACCTGGATTTCCTCTGCGTACGCTTGCGGGGGGGAGCTTTACTAGTGTACCTTCTGCTAATCTAATGGTCCTCCAGATATCGCCAAAGGCTGGGCAACTTGAAATCCACACCAGTCAAGGAGGGCTATCTTACTGTATCTGCCAGTTACACGTAGGTTACAAAGCATAAAGGCCTGGAGAGAAAAGACATTCCCTTTAACCGCAGAATGTCTCTCCTTTGGACTCTGGGGGAACGAGAGGAATTTAAGTGCCTGCTTCTCTGGAGATGGTCGCTTCTGCTTAGCATTGGGTGCTCTAGAAAAACAGATTTCAAGGAAAGGACCTCGTTTTGAGTTCCTGGCAACCCCTTGTGTGTGTGTTTTAGTTATTTGTCTTGTCTTTCTGATGGGTCTTCGCAAAGGGCGTAGATTTCAGACATGGTCCTCATAAAATGGGGGCCTTCAAACTTGCAAGTTTAAGACTTGTGGACTTCCAACTCCCAGGATTCCTCCTCTAGTCATGTTAGCTCAGGAATTCGGGGAGTTGAAGTCCACGAGCCTTAAACTTGCAAGTTTGAAGACCCTTGTTTATAAAAGCTAACCGAGTTGGACACCGAAAAAAGCTAAATAAGAAGGAAAGAGCTTGAAAGATGGGTATTCTGATTAGACGGCATTCGAGCAGTTTATGTTCTTTTCAGTTTTACTTGGAACCATGTCCTCCTCCTCCTCCTCCTCCTCCTTCGAGAGATTATGAAGGATTTGTTAGGAAGAAATGTTTTGGGAATCGGATCAGGGTCTGCTTATCCTGTTCTCGTAGGCTTTGTGTGAAGGAAGAGGCCGCGTTCGGAGAAGTCTCTTTCCCTCTATTGCATTCTTGCGAAGGTGATTGCACTGACACCTGAATTGCTTTAATTGCTGAAATTTGTGTTTTCTCTGGTGTCCGTCTCCAGATCTCAACTCCGTGCTGTCTGTCTTTCACCAGGCCTTTCAATGAAGATAGGAAATAGCTTGAAAGCAAAGATAGACATCCTAACCAAGATGGGACCAAAGCCTTGTTTAAATAGAATGTACATATCTACCAGAGCTTAAGCACAACAAACCAGCTTTTCTTTCTTTGTCCTGTCAAGGCAGCTAAATAGACATGTGCAGGTATAAAGGGAGAATAAAAACAACAACAAAGCCAGGACTAACTTACTACTTTGAAGGAGGTATCTTTCTAGTCAAATTTAACATGATGTGTT